CATTAGCTGTATGTAACGATAGTAATGATAGTGAACTATAATACATGTATAATATCAAACAACCCAGTAATACAGTGAACTATCTAAATAGCAATACAATGTCCTACATTAGCTGTATGTAACGATAGTAATGATAGTGAACTATAATACATGTATAATATCAAACAACCCAGTAATACAGTGAACTATCTAAATAGCAATACAATGTCCTACATTAGCTGTATGTAACGATAGTAATGATAGTGAACTATAATACATGTATAATATCAAACAACCCAGTAATACAGTGAACTATCTAAATAGCAATACAATGTCCTACATTAGCTGTATGTAACGATAGTAATGATAGTGAACTATAATACATGTATAATATCAAACAACCCAGTAATACAGTGAACTATCTAAATAGCAATACAATGTCCTACATTAGCTGTATGTAACGATAGTAATGATAGTGAACTATAATACATGTATAATATCAAACAACCCAGTAATACAGTGAACTATCTAAATAGCAATACAATGTCCTACATTAGCTGTATGTAACGATAGTAATGATAGTGAACTATAATACATGTATAATATCAAACAACCCAGTAATACAGTGAACTATCTAAATAGCAATACAATGTCCTACATTAGCTGTATGTAACGATAGTAATGATAGTGAACTATAATACATGTATAATATCAAACAACCCAGTAATACAGTGAACTATCTAAATAGCAATACAATGTCCTACATTAGCTGTATGTAACGATAGTAATGATAGTGAACTATAATACATGTATAATATCAAACAACCCAGTAATACAGTGAACTATCTAAATAGCAATACAATGTCCTACATTAGCTGTATGTAACGATAGTAATGATAGTGAACTATAATACATGTATAATATCAAACAACCCAGTAATACAGTGAACTATCTAAATAGCAATACAATGTCCTACATTAGCTGTATGTAACGATAGTAATGATAGTGAACTATAATACATGTATAATATCAAACAACCCAGTAATACAGTGAACTATCTAAATAGCAATACAATGTCCTACATTAGCTGTATGTAACGATAGTAATGATAGTGAACTATAATACATGTATAATATCAAACAACCCAGTAATACAGTGAACTATCTAAATAGCAATACAATGTCCTACATTAGCTGTATGTAACGATAGTAATGATAGTGAACTATAATACATGTATAATATCAAACAACCCAGTAATACAGTGAACTATCTAAATAGCAATACAATGTCCTACATTAGCTGTATGTAACGATAGTAATGATAGTGAACTATAATACATGTATAATATCAAACAACCCAGTAATACAGTGAACTATCTAAATAGCAATACAATGTCCTACATTAGCTGTATGTAACGATAGTAATGATAGTGAACTATAATACATGTATAATATCAAACAACCCAGTAATACAGTGAACTATCTAAATAGCAATACAATGTCCTACATTAGCTGTATGTAACGATAGTAATGATAGTGAACTATAATACATGTATAATATCAAACAACCCAGTAATACAGTGAACTATCTAAATAGCAATACAATGTCCTACATTAGCTGTATGTAACGATAGTAATGATAGTGAACTATAATACATGTATAATATCAAACAACCCAGTAATACAGTGAACTATCTAAATAGCAATACAATGTCCTACATTAGCTGTATGTAACGATAGTAATGATAGTGAACTATAATACATGTATAATATCAAACAACCCAGTAATACAGTGAACTATCTAAATAGCAATACAATGTCCTACATTAGCTGTATGTAACGATAGTAATGATAGTGAACTATAATACATGTATAATATCAAACAACCCAGTAATACAGTGAACTATCTAAATAGCAATACAATGTCCTACATTAGCTGTATGTAACGATAGTAATGATAGTGAACTATAATACATGTATAATATCAAACAACCCAGTAATACAGTGAACTATCTAAATAGCAATACAATGTCCTACATTAGCTGTATGTAACGATAGTAATGATAGTGAACTATAATACATGTATAATATCAAACAACCCAGTAATACAGTGAACTATCTAAATAGCAATACAATGTCCTACATTAGCTGTATGTAACGATAGTAATGATAGTGAACTATAATACATGTATAATATCAAACAACCCAGTAATACAGTGAACTATCTAAATAGCAATACAATGTCCTACATTAGCTGTATGTAACGATAGTAATGATAGTGAACTATAATACATGTATAATATCAAACAACCCAGTAATACAGTGAACTATCTAAATAGCAATACAATGTCCTACATTAGCTGTATGTAACGATAGTAATGATAGTGAACTATAATACATGTATAATATCAAACAACCCAGTAATACAGTGAACTATCTAAATAGCAATACAATGTCCTACATTAGCTGTATGTAACGATAGTAATGATAGTGAACTATAATACATGTATAATATCAAACAACCCAGTAATACAGTGAACTATCTAAATAGCAATACAATGTCCTACATTAGCTGTATGTAACGATAGTAATGATAGTGAACTATAATACATGTATAATATCAAACAACCCAGTAATACAGTGAACTATCTAAATAGCAATACAATGTCCTACATTAGCTGTATGTAACGATAGTAATGATTCACAATAGCAAAGTACACTGTCATACAACTTAGTAATAATGTAAACCATCATTAAATTACGTTGTAGTAATACATGCACTTTAAAATGCATTGGCAGGAATGTCTGAATAGTAACTGTGTAACATGTATATAGTCTTGAAGTAAGATGCGATCCTATTTACTGTAGTGATACCTTACCATACCGTGTTTCATACATGTACGATGACATATTTAATGGTACAGAATAAATCACGCACAAGTATATACATACAGTGCTATTACGTTGCTTCGTCGCTAAATGCATACAATTTCCTAATTCATTATTTGTTACATTTTATACACGTGATAGTCTTTAATAATATGGCTCAATATATGTACTAAAGATATTGTTATACAATTTTCCTCTGGTAATAAAAAGATATCCATCCTCAAAATCGTTCGTAAGACTTAAGTCACAGGTTCTTTTCTCTCTCTTTTGGTATCTGCCTGGTTCTATATTTGCGATTATGTGAGCTGACTCTAGCTATGACGGCCACCCTCATCGTTTTGTCGGGATCCTGGTAACAGGGAAGGAAGAGCCCGATATTTCAGTTACATTGGGATGGTCACACCTTGTACGCCGTGAACTTAACTCCACAAATCGCGGGGCAGCGTGCCATATAGTGTCGTGTTATGACAACCCACATGTATTGATCCATTCTCTATAAATCAAAAGATATGGACACATTTTTGAACCCACTTCAGTCAGAGGTGTAAATTATGAATGATTTATCTGAAAGGTAGCGAACAATTTGGCAAAATGTGTGTCCCGGATTATCAACGTATGGCCCCGCAATGGAAGATTATAGCGAGACTTCCTCAGAACGAGACTCTCGTTTGGCGTGAGAACAAAGAAGCGGCTCTGACACGCTGGACAGCGGGCAGGGAACTGGCCGGACCGCAGAACAGGCTCCAACTCTGTGACGTCAACAGGAAATCATAATGTGTGTGATCACGTTTCTCATGGCATGCGTATATCTTATCAGCGGCAGATCCAAGATATTTGGTTGAAGAAGTCCGATGTCCTGAAAAGAGAGGGATCAAAACTCGAGAGAACATAGTTTTGAATAAAAAAAAACAAAAAAAAACAAAAACATTCACAATATCACTATCAGTCTCTGCTTTATACATGTCAATGGATATATTTCAACAAATAAGCTCACACTGAAGTGTTTGCAAATAATTGTTCACAAAGTTAACCATTAACCGTTAAAATATATAAAAGGAGCGGTTAACATATGTCTTTCAGTCCCTTTTTGTGATGCCTTGATAAACAATTACAAAGATGTCAAAATTAGACATTAACGGCGATGACGATACTGGTGATGTCGTCCTGTAAGTTCCCTTGTCTCTATAACCAAAGAATGTGTTACTAAACATGCTTTGGTTGAATAAAATATAAAAAGAACATCATTCCCATTACATCTGATTTTCATTACGGTCTTTTTAAGGAAACTCGCTGATGTTCTTTAGAAATATCTAATTTAATGACTCGTTTGATTTCCGCTTTTTATAGTTTCGTAGCCCATCGTTAAGGGATCACCATGCAGATAACTTAGCGTGGTTTGTGGCTATTTCCTCTGTATCACTCAAAGATGTTTGTCGCAAATATGAGTTTCGTGTGAACAGTAGTAAAATGATATATAGAGTTCAATCTTATGCAGACTTCGTTTGCACTCCATTAAAAGTAATTGCCTGAAGATAGCCGCAAAGCGTGAACACGTAGCGAAACTCAACTTGCATTGTCTTTATATTTATGTACAAATGTATATTGTTTCATTAACAATCACGTTAAACAAATGTACAAAGTAAACATAACTGCCACGATTCCTGTAATATATCGGTAAGAAAAAAATGCCTGTTTCATATGAGCCTTGATCAAAGATGCATGGTATTTGTATGGTACCTATGTGACGTCGCCAATTCAGAGGACAGCAAAGATGAGTGATGCCTATGTGACGTCGCTAATTCAGAGGACAGCAAAGATGAATGAGGCCTATGTGACGTCGCCAATTCAGAGGGACAGCAAATATGAATGATGCCTACGTAATGTCGCCATATTCAGAGGACAGCAAAGATGAATGATGCCTTTGTGACTTCGCCAATTCAGAGGACAGCAAAGATGAATGATGCCTATGTAACGTCGCCAATTCAGAGGACAGCAAAGATGAGTGATGCCTATGTGACGTCGCTAATTCAGAGGACAGCAAAGATTAATGATGCCTATGTGCCGTTGCTAATTCAGAGGACAGCAAAGATGAATGATGCCTAGGTGACGTCGCCAATTCAGAGGACAGCAAAGATGAATGATGCCTTTGTGACTTCGCCAATTCAGAGGACAGCAAAGATGAATGATGCCTATGGGACGTCGCTAATTCAGAGGACAGCAAAGATGAATGATGCCTATGTGCCGTTGCTAATTCAGAGGACAGCAAAGATGAATGATGCCTATGTGACGTTGCCAATTCAGAGGACAGCAAAGATGGATGAGGCCTACATGACGTCGCCGATGCCTTTGTGACGTCGCTAATTCAGAGGGACAGCAAAGATGAATGATGCCTATGTGACGTCGCCAATTCAGAGGGTCAGCAAATCTGAATGATGCCTACGTAATGTCTCCATATTCAGAGGACAGCAAAGATGAATGATGCCTTTGTGACTTCGCCAGTTCAGAGGACAGCAAAGATGAATGATGCCTATGTGACGTCGCCAATTCAGAGGGACAGCAAATCTGAATGATGCCTACGTAATGTCGCCATATTCAGAGGACAGCAAAGATGAATGATGCCTTTGTGACTTCGCCAATTCAGAGGACAGCAAAGATGAATGATGCCTATGTGACGTTGTCAATTTGAGAGAACAGTAAATATCTATGGCATCTACGTGACGTCGGAAATTTGAGAGGACAGCAAATATGAACATTTATCTATGTGACGTCGCCATTTTGAGAGAACAGTAAATATGCATGGCATCTACGTTATGTCGCCATGTTTAGAGGACAGCTATGATATCTTTGTGACGTCGCCAATTTGAGAGGACAGCAAAGATGTTCAATTCAATTATAGGAGTCGTAACATACACGTGTTAAACATAGTAAAATTAATTATACACAAGATTACAGAGGCTGAACAATGTGAAAACCATTTCACTCCTTGTCATACATTGTGCAATTAGTTAATGTACTATTCAAGATAACGCAATCATATTACTATCAGCTGTCACGCCTGGCATTGGCAATACACAAACATTTACCAAGCTTATTTAGTTATTTTACATCCCTTACAAACACAAGTTTTACAAGCTTAAAGACAGAATGGACAGATATATGGTACCTTTGTGACGCCACCAGTTTGAGAAGACAGAAAGATGGCTGTTACCTATTGGATGTCATGTCTGATACCTATGTAATGTCGTTAGGATGAGATGAGTACAAAAGGCCAATTTATATTTGTTATTTCCTCACGGTTGAACAGTAACATTAATTAATTGTTCTATGCTGAACAATCAAGTTTTCATGTTTTCCTCCAATTCCGTTATCTTATAATTGAAACCATCCCGCTGGAAGTATGGGTTTTATACAAGCTATCAAAGCCACAGTACCGCAGGGTTTCAAGTAAGGCTATTTGATGGATGTCATACTTTTAATGATCCATGTAATTATCTATTTTTTGCCCAATAGAAGAATATTCTTTCTACATTAATTGCATATACACACACGTGCAACTGCGCTGTTTATAGATGATACACGTGCATCTATACTGTTATAGATGATACATGCTGTCTGTAGTACGTATATTGTTACACTTTATTCGCGCATGATAATTAATTTCTCGTCTCGTTTATGGCTGATATTAAACCTTTCCTGACAGTCGAACACGTGCTCATTCCCGCCCTCACCTGGCAGCTCTCCGTAGCTTAATAATGGCGTGCATAAACACACGTCGTGTAAATCACGTGCACTTTCCGTGTCAAAGTCTTCGATAATTTGGGATCCATATCAGCAAATACAAAAAGCACATTTAAATAGTGTATTCAAACACTTATCTTTGGCAACGGAATATTCGAACAGTGATATTTGCTTTTACTCATTTCAAATCTTTATCTGCGATCAAAAACAATATCTATTTCGCCATATCGGGTAATGCAACTATATGCAAGACTTAATTTAATACTTTCTTTTGAAAAATAAAATCTTGTAAGATATTTGTCCATTTATGATGTTGTCCAACACCGTTTCATACTTAGGCCTACAGATATGGGCCGTGTTATCATTCTCTCGCCCCTCACCATCAGATTGGTATCAGAACCGTTACTATGTTGTGAGCGCTGAAGCCATTCTGCCATCAAAAGCGCAAGTCTTATATCGGGTCGTGCATAGTTGTAATAACTATCACAGGAAACAAAAAGTATACCATAGAAAAATTCCCCTACCACTAAAATTAATACTAAAAGGAAGGATCGGCGTCACAGTGACGAGCGGAGGTCGGAGTCTACCAAACCGCCATCTTTGCTTTCCTGTTTATGGACACTTTAGTTTGAACGGAGCTAAACTTTAAAAGCCAATCTTTGTATGAGTGATTGATATCGATCAGAGATCGATTACAATATCACGAGAGGGTTTCAGCATCAGCAGCTAACCATATCGATACAAGTAGTATTAAAGATATATTTTGTACACGCTTAGTGCCCATACATTTCTTCTATAATATGTCTGTGTCCTAGCGACGCTTTGAAGCCAGTATCGGTCTATCACTACCGGACGGAAGCATCTTAAAAGGTTGACATCCAGGTCTGACGATTGTGTAACAGTCGGCCCTTAATATTTGTCCCTACAGGAAGAGGGAGCTCACCTACAAGGCCCTCTGACATATAACTGTCAACATTTGCGCTCATTTCGTACTAAATATTATGACAATCATTTTAGCGGCAAGCGTTATGGGATTGGTATAATAAAACATCTCACAGAAGCGTAATGGAGTTGTCCTGTAGCATATGGAATACAAGGTCACATCGATATGCGTGGTGGAGTAACAACTAGCCATTATTTTAATTCATCTTTCTTCTGATATATATTGAGCGGCCCGTAATGTTATCTATAACCAGCCAACCGAGGTTTATTGTTGGTTTAAAATTAAGGAAAAGGGCAATCAATGTTATTTTGTTATAACCTGACTAAAATCTTGTTTTCTGTAATTGGTCGAGATGTTACCAAGCCAATAGAATGAATATTGATAATATTAACGTAGATAGCTAATCAATCCTCAAACTTGTAATTATTCGAACGGTGTTTCGGCTCGACGTTCACAAACATATCGCATCAATTTTAATTAAACACTTTCCTCTAAGCTAAGTGGTGGCAAATTAAAAGACCGAAACACTTAAAATTCTCTACTTTATTTTCTGATATGGAGACGAAAATTATATCAATCGTTAAAATTGCTGTTCGTCCCTAGAACAAAAGTATCTCGATTATTTATTGCTGCCGATGTTGTGAGAGTACACCTCCTCTAAGATGTAATCGACTTTATTAAAGAGGATATTCAGACAGACCTTTGATAAACGACTTGACATTCCTCAACACGCCATACCTGTACAGAAAACCCGTCCTGGCTGTCCGTGGAAGAATATACACGTTGTGTACATCCTCATCAAGTCGAATGGTCGGGGGGAGGTAGCTGTTTTCGGCCGATTATTCAGTTGCTCAAAATGTATCGTTTGCTAGATGGATTAAACATTGTCAAGAACTATGATGGACACCATGCAGAACAGAAAATGTCATGCCGTGATCTGTTTCAATGAACAGGATTTGATCTGATCTTTTTGCTATACAGAAAAGAAATTAACACAGTGTTTCCCGCTGCCCAAAAACAGTAATTGACCTGAAGAGGTAGTGGTATAGCATTTACCGTAGACAATTATAAGGACTATAGATCTAGTGTTAATCGTTTTGCATTTCTGTATAAAACTTAAATCATTATTTGAAAACACAATTGCCACTCTTCCCCATATGTCCCTCGTTATTGTAAAGAATGTCCAATATATATGGACTGACTGACTTCTCCATCTTGTTGGTATTGTGACAAGTTCGCGTAGGCCATCTGAAATTTATTCAGTGATTTTGCACTCTTGTGAGGTTGTTGTGTCTCCCTCTGAGACTGTTTTGAACATGTACCATAAAGAAGGCGTACAGGCACATCAAACGCGAGCAGTCACGTTAAAGGCGGTGGCGTCAAAAGCAAAATCACAAAACGGAGCTAAGTTTTGGTGTGTGGTAGAACCAGCGAAGTTTTCAACTGGACATGTGTCATATCAGGAGTCCCCCACAAGGATCAGGTGTTAGGAGTACGTGTGTCTGTGATCTCCCGTAGGTAGCACAACCTTTCCACAGACGATACCAAGGTTTATAAAATTATGCTAAAATCAGTGTACTAGAATACACTACAGGAGGTCCCAAACAATATTTGGTTTTGATGTGACACGCGGCTGCTAATACTTTGTTAGCTTTAACGCACAATCCCTCGATTCATTAGTAAAGAATAGATGAGCCACTTTAGGATAGCATGACCTCCTCCTCAGTTACAAAACCCACCACATATCGAAATATCAACTAAACCACAATACATAATGAAATAAAACTAGGGCAAATTAATTAAAACCCAAAGAAAATGTCACATCGATACGCTTTAAAAAGTTCCAAGATAATAAGACCAGGTATTCCGGGAGGTTACGCGTCCTCTTCTTCACCGACGACACCCGTCACATAAATATATGTCATATCAAAGTAATGTAAGGTCATCACATCGATAACTAGGGTAGTGATAACACAACCACACGGCACATTAATGAGTATAATAAAACAAATCATCGACTTTCATGTCACACAAAGAAATGGCCTACATCTCTTAGATCGTGATGGCGACCACAAAACTTGTCTGCGCAAAAAACAACAACAACAAAAAAACAACAACAACAACAACAACAACAACAACAACAACAACAACAACAACAACAACAACAGCAAAAACATGTGAATACTATCAACGTATTTCAAACGTGTACATTTTCTATGTTGTATATTATTTACATTGACAGCATATACAAAACACGAATATATGCCTAATTACATCAACCATAAGAGATATACCATAATCGTGTCTCGTTTATGTCTGTTTAGCTTCAAACATTGATTGGCCTAGCTAACAAAATAAACCAGTACTCATTGATATTTTTAAAATTCAAAAAATAAGGCTTTGTATGTACATTCTCTTTGCTTCAACAGTAGTTTAGACCTATTCAGATTTCCATTATTTTGGCCCCCTCGCATCGCCGATAATTCCCAGACAAAAAAGACAATAGAATACATAAGTCTCAGCAAAACCATATTCCGAAATCGGTAAAGTTAGGGCAACATATGATCAAACGGAAGATTTCCATGGAAACCCATGAAAAAGTACCAGTAGAATAAGGCCAGGTGTTCCGGAATGGTGCGCGTATTCTGCTACATCGACAACACCCTTTATTTAAATACATGTCAAATCAAAGTAATGTCACATCATCACATCGATATTTCGGGTAGTGGTAACAAAACCACACGGCACATTAATGAGTATAATAAAAAAAACAACATCTACCATTATGTCACGCAGAAATAGCATGTTTCTCTGTGAGGTCGTGATGGCGACAATACAAGCGTGTCCATAGTCTTCATCAACTTTCATCTTTGGAAACTTTGTGTTGTAAGTTTGTCCGTCAGCAGTCGACATCTATCATTGAAGTTGTGATATTTGGGGCAAGCCCTTGAGTGCCGAAATCGTCCCACCTATAGTACAACTTTGTAGGAAGTCGTCCCTGCTGGGCATGTTGTAAGGAATAGTCGAGAAAAGCAGCTGAATAAGATAAATCAGAGGTGTCCTTGATTTCAAGCGCTGGAGGGTATATAGATCGATGTGGTCAATTAATGTCTTGATGTTCAAAGACAGCTCATCGTCGATATAATTGAATTTGAAAATTAAAGACGTTTTTGTAACGAGTCCTGATAAGCTCATCACTAACATATCGGTTAGAAGAGGGGCATACTCTGTTCCCATACGGATGCCTTCATTCTGCTGGAAAATCTTTCCATCGAACTCAGCAAAGATATTGTCAACCAGAAACTTAGTCATTCTCACAATATCGTCCTCAGTATATTTTATTTTGGCCTTCATTGTATTTATCACAAGAAATGCCCCAAAATAGTTTGCAACAATTCATGTATATCGCCGTACGCCTTTCTTCGCAAAAAGAAAGCTCTCACAACAGGAGCATGTAGCGGTTCCTTGTGTTTGGTATGATGAATGGTAGTATAAAGGGTTGAAAAGTCAAAAGTTTAGATAGAAGAAACACTATTTAGAAGAGCATGCTCAAGATTGATCTAAAGATCTTTTGAATTCTTTAAAATCCACATCCCGTTTATTCCACTTCTTTAGCATACAGTATCACAATACGATTGTAATCCTAATTTATTGGTAGTGAGAAGGGTAATGAGAATGATAATGGTAATGAGAATGGTAATGAGAATGGTAGTCAGAATGGTAGTCAGAATGGTAGTGTGAATGGTAGTCAGAATGGTAATGAGAATGGTAGTGAGAATGGTAGCGAGAATGATAGTCAGAATGGTAATGAGAATGGTAGTGAGAATGATAGTAAGAACGATAGTCAGAATGGTAGTGAGAATGGTAATGAGAATGGTAGTGAGAATGGTAGTGAGAATGGTAGTCAGAATGGTAGTCAGAATGGTGGTGAGGTAGTGAGAATGGTAGTGAGAATGGTAGTGAGAATGGTGGTGAGGTAGTGAGAATGGTAATGAGAATGGTAATGAGAATGGTAGTCAGAATGGTAGTCAGAATGGTAGTGTGAATGGTAGTCAGAATGGTAATGAGAATGGTAGTGAGAATGGTAGCGAGAATGATAGTCAGAATGGTAATGAGAATGGTAGTGAGAATGATAGTAAGAACGATATTCAGAATGGTAGTGAGAATGGTAATGAGAATGGTAGTGAGAATGGTAGTCAGAATGGTAGTCAGAATGGTAGTCAGAATGGTAGTGAGAATGGTGGTGAGGTAGTGAGAATGGTAGTGAGAATGGTAGTGAGAATGGTGGTGAGGTAGTGAGAATGGTAGTGAGAATGGTATTGAGAATGGTAGTCAGAATGGTATTCAGAATGGTAGTCAGAAGTTTTGATAACGGCTTGGTTGAGCAACTAGAAGAGACAGCAATATAATGTTGTTAGTAAGGTTTCTTGTGAAATGTTTGGAATCCAATACAAACGAGGCAAGTCTGTATCCTTATCGTCAGTGGGTATTAGGCGAGATTGTAGCACAGAAGCATGATTTGCTAGTATTTCGAAAAATGGGGTGCCTTGTCCATATCTTGACAAGGTCTAGAGAAAATAGACAAGGATTAATACGCCCCAAACCATTACCGGTATTATTAGTACTTAAACAGAATAAATGATATTCAAAGTACAATTTTTTAGGTCCAATAATTTTGACCAATATCTCATTATTCTATACTACATGTGTGTGTCCAAAAACCGTAACTGTTTACAGACAAGTCATGTGTTTTCACGTCAAAATATCATTTCCGAGGTATTTTCGTCAGAATAATGCGTTTCTATTTAAACGTTGATACCAGTGACTTGAACCATTTAGAACTTCGATAATGTATTTGAGTCAACTTGAAAATCATAGAAATAATTTTAACAATATAGAGACACGTAAATATATCAAATGTAGTGTACAGATGGCGAGTTTTTAGACAAAACGAGACCGGGTTTACGAGGTTATCATATACATGTAACTAGCATGCTCGCGTGTATTAAACCAAAGTAATACACGGGAACCAGAATATTATCAGACTGGCCTTACAATATAGCTATACATGCATTGACCTACACAGAAGTTAAACGTATAATAAAAATCCTCTCTTCGGTGCAGCTTAAACATGTACATTAAACAATATCAATTTAAATCAGTTATATCTTAGCCTTAAGTATAATCCTCAAACGATAATTTTAGACCCTAAATGACCATTAGATGACCTTTATGGGTGGTCAGTGGAGCCATGAGGATGCCAGCAGACCGACGTTCAACAGATGCCTATCATACCATATTTGGTAAGATACATATTATGATGAGAGAGACAGTCTCCATAAGAACGCTATATCACTTATACAGGAGTGTCTCCCTCAGAGGCGCTATTTCTTGTCAATGAAAAGAAAAAAACACCAAATGGCCTGATCTAATACAATTTTTGTCCGTTATATCTCGTGAGGCGGATTCTCCTTACATGAATAGTCCTTTTTAGGAGACGTATTATTTTTGAAGTAATGCAAATGTGAGTGGCCGTGGCACCTGCTTTTTAAGTATCGGAGGAATATCAATATTTTATAGATATTTCAAAGAACCCGTCCTCGTCCCCTAATAGGTCATAAAGCCCGTTGTCTCTGGTCTTGGAATGTTGAGACGATAAACCGGAACTTGATCCAAAATCTACGTCTTATAAAATTCCAAATTAATTTAAGATCTAACCGATGTTGAAAAGACAAAAAAGCACGCAGATCGCATTGATAAAATAATCAATTGAATAAGAAATCCCTCACAGGTAACGATTAACTATAAAATATTCATGGAGAGTTCAATAACAGCTTGAGGCGAGCCTGGGGCGAACTGTTCCATCTGATTACCTGGAAACAGTGACAATGCGATATCGTTTAGATAATAACGACATTTTCGTGACTAGCGGGAATAGTTAGGAGCCAACTTAGTGTATCACGTTTAATTTAATCAGAATGTGGTATGTTTTATAATGGAAAGTAGAAATATCCAATAGATATAAATGATATACCTATGTATCAGCGATATTAAACTCGTGTGAGAGGAAAATCTAACGTTTTATCCTTTATGGATATTGAACATGGCGTGCTGGGGTATTGACATCGCCGTTTGCGAACATTTCATGATTTAATTTTTAAACATGAAATGATGGGTCCGTGTAGAAAGTCATTTTCGTTCCTAGAACAAACGAGTTTGTGAAGCTGCCGATATAACTATTATGACCAAATTTCCGTTTGCACATTAGCTTAACATGTGGTATTTGTCCATGCATTATTTTAACATCAGTCAAATTCGTTTCTTTCTGCAAATAAAATTTTGGGAAAATTTAAATTTAAATAAACAACTAATTATTTTCTCTTGTTTTAATGAGTTTTTTTTCTCGCAAAAATGCAAGCCTGCAGCACAATACTGTAAAATATAACAGACAGAATGGCGATTTTAGATAGTCGATCAGACTGATTTGTACATACTATTATGCCAGCCGCCAATCCGGGTAACATAAGAAATATTACTGGATAACTACACATGCCCTGCTCGTATTGGATACATATTTCCAATTTCCCTAAAGTAAAGGACTAGTGACGCTGTCATCACCAAAACACGTGTCACCCACATTTTTCTTAAACGTTTTTCATATTTTTTCAGCTATTTGTGAATATTCACTCTACCTTGAGTGAATTTTGTATTCAGCTGTTGCACTCTTCCGTATGTTGATATTTCCTTTAGTTTAACTTTTTCAATCGTTTTAAAACTATTAGGAATGTTGTCCATACCCTTCACGACTAGTTTCCCTTTTGTAAATGAAGTCTTTCCATGTTTTTTGCGGTTGTTGCATTTTACCAAGAATGTTGAACTTCGCTCTAATGTGTGTTGGAATCTTTCTCGGAATCCGCTGACAATGCGTGTAGCCTTGACCGTAAACCTACATCCTATTAACACAGGTAATCTGCCCACTACAGTACCGGTGTACTAATTCAACTACAATGGTAAAACAATGCTTCAGATGCTTTACTGGTGTTTAAAAAAAAAGTGTATCGCTGGTATAATAAGAAACAAATGCAAATACAACAAAAAAGATGTTAACTATAAATTCCTCCGAGTTTGCCATTTCTGTTTTCAAAGAAGTTCCTCAAAAACTGAAGCCTTATTCTGATCAGTATAACTAGGTAAGTGTTGCTAGTATATATGTACCATCGACTAATTAGATTCCGAGGTAGTTCCATCACTGACCAGTCTTCAGTACTACTATATGTATACAAGGTGCATGTGTATTCAGAGATGTACGTGTTAGGCTGAACACTTTTGATTTCAGTAAGGTTTTTCTTCCTTAAAGGTTAAAGAATCTAATGGAAACAGCCCACGTTGAGGTCCGCTCTTTGTTACGAGATAGGCGGATTTCTACTATTCTATTTACTTGGACACAATTAGATAAAAGATAATATCTTACTCTACATAATGTGTTTTCCTATGAATACTGCACATTCGGTCTAGTTTTGCTAAGTTTTCGAGTTTTGTTGAGTTAAGTGAACATCATCGAGTTTTGTTGAGTTCTTTCTCACATCGAGTTTTGTTGAGTTCTTTCTCACATTGAGTTTTGTTGAGTTCAGTAACATAAGTAAAGATAGTAAACGTTTGTTGACTTTTGAGTTAGGTGTAATTTGATTGAGTCTTTTGAGTTCATTGCATGTATCGATTGTGCTTTGTTGAAGTTTGTTTACATCTTTCGAGTTTTGTTAAGTTTAGTGTACTTTTATCAAGTTTTGTTGAGTTTAATGAACGTCTACCGGGCTTGTTAAGCGTAGATAAGTTTAGTTACATTTATCCATGAATTAAAAGTTTGTTGATGATTTTACGATTGTATTGATTGGTAACTGATCTGTGCGGATTGATAAGATTTCAGTATTTTGTAATAGCAAAGGACCAATGAATCAAACCCGGTAAATTGATGGTTTTGTGCTCTTAGAAAAATTGTATGGTAGATATTTTATTCGTTGACAGAAAAAACTTTATCAGTAAGCTATATTAATACTTGTCTTTCCACTGACGCCGTCTACCAATGAAACGACACAGTGTTTGATACATCACTAAGGCTAATAACATTAACATGACCTTAAAAGACACCATTGTGACCTTGTCAGATTTTTTTTATGTTATTAAGGAATGATGATGTTTAAAACTGTCTCTACATCGGTTCCATTAGAACAGACTGTTTCTAATTTCTGTTTAGTTATGCAAGGGAGACTATCGTTACGGAATCGATATTGTATAAGGTAAATTCTCAATTGTTTACTCAAATAACAGTTACCGATTGAAGTGTGTATATTGTATTTCGTGCCGACATTTTTTCCCGAACAGATACCCGGAATAAATCAAACATCAGTTAACATTATGCTTTCATTTAAAGAGGAAGAAGGACCTTCCTAAATACCGTCGCCCTAACAGCGAGTTTCCTAAGTAACGATCTTCTTGTCGGATTATAGGACTTCACTTCCGGATTATAAGAACCAGTTTCCGCTTTATAAAATAATCTTTTAAAAGTCGGCTTTCCACATAAGAGTTCAAGTTTGGGAGTAAAAGAGACAATTTTCCGGACATTTAGATTATAATTAATTCATCATACATATACCCCAATTTAAGATTGGCTTTCCGGATTGAATTAGTCCATTTTCCTCACTAACATTTCCCATCTAAGTACATGTTCCGGTTTATGAGATTAACGTTTCCAGATTAAAAAAGCAACTTTCAAGATTCGAATAATTCTCCAGTTTCCGGATCATAACATCGTTTCAGTATATACGATTCAAGTTTTCGTATAATAAGAGTCCAATTTTGGATGATAAAAAACCCTGTTTCCGGTTATCTTATTTAAGGATCAGGATTATGAGATTCAAGTGTCTGAATAAGCAGATTCTAGTATTCGGTTACTAAACGCCTATTTTCTAGAAAGCCAAAATCCAGTTTCTGAATTTTATAATGACAACTAATAAACAATAATTAATTCCGGTTCGGTGTTTTATCAATTTTAAAGGTTCTCTGTGATTAGTTTAACTTTTTCCGGATTACGATAATCCGGAATATTTTATCTTGATGAGGATTATAACAGAGTTTGTGTTGAGTAGTCTAGTTGTACTAGGAAATATCAATATTTTTCGACATTTCTAATTATATTCTGTACGGGGTGTGTGACCGATCTAATTGTATTCTGTACCGGGTGTGTGACCGATCTAATTATATTCTGTACGGGGGGTGTGACCGATCTAATTGTATTCTGT